TTAATGTAATTGACATCAGTAAGTTGTACATCTGTAAAAAGCGGAACTGGCAAATGTTTGTATGATATACATATATTTACAACAACAACAACAGTGCAGGTGCTGAGGCTGCTTATATATGAGCAAATTGCTCATGGGATTTGGTTTTTTGGTTTGGAGGTCTGGTCCATGGTTTCATGGTACATGCCAGTTAATTGGCCTAATAATGTGTTTAGAGCTTCTGTTCTACCTCCTAGTCTTTGTGTAGGCCTGGAGTCTTAAAAGCTTGCAAGTAGCCATCCAAGGTATAGCAGTTGGTTTCTATTCACCAGGATCAAGAGAGGAAGAAGAGTCAGGAATAAGAATAGGTGGAGGAAATGGAATGTGTGCCTAATTGTCTCCATGAAAAAAATACTTCCTTTTGCATAAAACCAGAATGGGATGGTGCCCAACAACCATTACTGGATGTTTTGATCAAAGATTCTACAGAAGAATCCTGATCAAAAGGGGGAAAATACAGAGCAAAATTTCAAATTCCCATGGAATCCAGATTTTCTGGAGCCACTAAGGCTCAATAAACCCCTGAAACTATAGCCCTGAGATAATCTTTAAACCTTAAACTGAAAACATCTCCTGAAGTCTTCTTTAAACCAAACAAGAGCTTAGCTAGTAAAGAATTTCTGCCTCGAGTGCTGTACTCTTTTAAAGACTACCTATATGGAACCGATTCTAAGTTTAGACAGAAAGCTTAGTGGTCAGTGAATTTATACAGTCAGGGAAGAACAACTTGGAAAAGGAGGGTGAGAATGGTTGCATAACTTGAAGAAAGTAATCACCGTTTCTGTTCATATATATAGAAACTCTTGAGTTGATATGTATTCTGTTGTATATATGTTCAACAATAGCAACAAAAATAAATTATTTTTGAAAAAGGAAGCATTAGCTATACTTGTAAAATTACTTTTGGTCATCAGGCAAAGTGATACCACGCTCCAGTTAAATATTCAGCTTTGGGACGTTTCTAATGAATAAAGATGTAGTTAAAGGGCCAGTTAAATTTCATGGTCAGATTTTACCCCCAATCCTAGGGCTTTAGAATTTTCAAAAAAATTTTACATAATTTTACCTAATTTAAAATCATTATACCTACACTGAGGAGTGGCCAAATTATGCCACATTTTTTCGATGACAAAAACAGAGGTTCAGAAAAGTTAAATGGCATGTTCAAATCAGAGTTAACTAAAATAATCCATGTAAAATAAATGTTTGATACACAGTATCAAATAGGATAAATAGGAGCTCTGGTAGCATAGTGGCTAAAGCACTTGACTGCTAACCAGAAGGCTGGCGGTTCAAACCCACCAGCCACTCCTCGGAAGGAAGGTTGGGCAATTCTACTTCTGTAGTGATACTGCCTTGGAAACCCAAGGAGGGGTCGCTATGAGTCGGGGCCGACTCGATGGCACATAACAACAACAACAACAACACAGTAAATATTCAATAGACATTAGCTGTTTAATATCATGTTATAAATAAGAAGTAAGTGAAGAAGTCAGGAGTGGGCATAGATCTAACTTCTATCATCTACTATGAAACTTTAAGGACATTTCAACAGCAATTGTTTGAAAAACCCCAACAACACAAAGTGCATGGGTCAGCTGTATCATCCCTGGTACATGAAGGAAGCCATTTATTGCTTTTATTTTTTAGGCAAATATGTCTTGATCTGACATGCCATGTCAACTGGGAAAGAAACTTATTTCTTAATTTTCTCAAATAACAGCACTCAAAAACCTTATTCATCTCCTATACTAAGCACAATGTGAAAGAGCAAAGCAACCAAAAATGTGTGGTTTGTGTCCTTGGCCTTGATGATGTATTCTGTTCTAGAAAAATGTCTCTAAGGGTTGAAACTCAATAAAGCTATTTCTAGAGCGATCAACCTGAAAGAAGTCCCTCAGAAGTTGCACGATCACTATAGGCAGCAAGCCTCCTAAGCAACTTACCGAGGTGGGAAAGTTTGCTTGCCATTAACTGCACACTGGGCCCCTGACATGTCCAGAGTAATGAGTCAGTTTATCTGAAGGGGAGTGAAGGTCCATAGCCCTGAATATATTGTTTATTTAGACTATCCTAACATGCATTTGATCCCTGGGTGTACACACTGTTAAAGTGCTTGGCTGCTAACCAAAAGGTTGGAGGCTTGAGTCTATCCAAAGGCACCTTGGAAGAAAGGCCTGGTAATGATCAACTTCTGAAAAATCAGCCATTGAAACCCTATGAAGCACAGTTCTAATCTTATACACATGAAGTTGCCATGCGTCAGGGATGATTATATGGCAACTGGTATGGTGGTGACTATGAGTTTAATGGACATTGAACATCACCCCAAGGTGGTTTTTGCTTTCTGGAAATGAACACAATTATTCATTTAGCTAAAGGCACAAACACTATAGAATTACCTCAGATTATGACGAAGGTGAGCAAAAAGAGGGGGATAACTCTCTTATGGAGAGTCATTTATTTTTTAATTTATAAAATCCAAGGTAGTGCTTGCCTATCCTCTTGCTTAGGGGACCAGAATAAAAATTTATGGCACCATTTCAAGGCTTTTATATGTGACAAAGCTAATCTCCTGTAAAAATTCAGTCATTATTGCATATGTATTTCAAGTGAAATTATCAAAACTCAGTTTGGAGGAAAATGTTTTCCTTGTCCAGACTCCAGTCCAATGGTAGTCTCCTTCCCCCAGTTCATGTGAATGATACAGTAACACTGCAAGATTAAGACTCCTAAATCGATAATTTCTCTATTACTAGAGTTAACAATACCAGTTTAATCCATTTTAAGCATAATATTTAGATACAATAAAGCCTGCATTAGCTAAAATATTTTAAAATTGAGAGCATGATTAAGCAAATTCTCTGATATCATTAAGAAGTCACCAGAAAATTACTTTTTGTACCATCCTTGTTAGTGATTAAAAATTTTCCCACATGTCCAAATCCATGGTTTTGCCTTAACCAACAGGGGATAGCTAACATTTTTTTAATGTAACTTTTCTACCCAGCACACTTTTCTATGCTGAACCTATGGTCAATGGAGCTAACTTGCTCCTGTGGAGTATTATTCTGATTTCCATATCCTTCTCAGTTACAGATTACAATCTCATTGATGCTATTTGAGATGACTTTTAAAAACAGGTCTAACATAATTGAATAATGAAAAAATGACAATACAGTTTTAACATAATTAGGGAAATAACATAGTTTAAAAAATGTGTAGTTCTAGTGGAAAATAAGGGCTGTATCTGATTTTGCAATTCAGAGAATTTTTAACAGTGAAATAAAATTGAGAGTTCCCACAGCTAGTTCATTTAAAAGGTTTCTAAGGCTAGTATAGGGGTGGTAACTCAGACCCAGGACAAACCAGTATATTTAGTGAATATCAGTGTTCCAAAGGAAGTTATGGTGAAGAAATATCTCAAAACCACTTACAGGGAAAGTATGAAACATTGAACTGACAGAAAGATTTCCTCTGGCACACACATTCCTGTCCTTAACACGGTATTAATTTCATAGGAAGTGGAAAACCAAAAAATAAATCCACTGCCATCAAGTCGATTCCAACCCATAGTGAACCCCATTGGGTCTCCAAGGCTGTAAATCTTTATGGAAGTAGATTGCCTCATCTTCCTCCCATGGAGCACCTGGTGGGTTCGAACCATCAATATTCTGTTTAGCAACCAAGAAAATTCCTTAGGGAGTACAAGTGGCTCTACAAATTCTGCTTTAGAAAAAAAAAAAAATGAATTTTTAACAATTTGATGCAATTTTCTTTCATGCATGTATCCAAAAACCTTTTGAAAGTCTGTCCTTAAGTTAGCCAATCACTTAACATCTTTATTTCTTGAATCATTTGAGTTTTGCCACAAACACCCTAAATTTCCTCCTAAGGGAGTTCTCCATCAAGTCCAAAAGAGTCATCAATGACAACAAGTAAATTAATAGATGCTAAACCCAGTAGATTTGTTTTTAGGCTATTTAGTAAGCTTGCTAATACTAATAGAATTTTAGTAAAGTGATTTATATTCCATTATGTATTTAAGCATACTAAAATGCCTTTGTTCACTTTGTGAACCTTACACCTAAAAAAAACTGCTGTACTCAAATTTGGTAGTTAATATAATCAGGTTAATATGTTAGAAAGAACTTGACACTGAAATCATTAATGAGTAGAACAAGGTCACTACTTCTGAGCTGAGGTCACTTACGAAGAATGCACAAATGAAATTAAGGTTGACTTTTATTTACTTGACTATCTTCTTACATTGGATTCCTTTGGCAAAGTATCTTTAAACATTTAAAACCCTGTTTACAAGGAGGCTCCGAAAGAAGCTTCAAACCATTATGCCCCTAATTGAATTCCCCAGGAGTCCAGTAAACTCAGAGGAATAAAGAAAAATCATAACATTTGCTAAATCATTTCAAAACATATTTCACTGCAAGGTTATGTGACCTGTTTTTTGAGGTTCAAAGATGAATGAGAAAATATTACTGAGCACTTCATTATTTAGATTAAAATTAAAAGAATTTTACCTACTAGTGGCAAGCTAATTAAATCAGCCCAGTTTTTACTTTTTTTCCAAGAGAAATCAGACAAAAAACAAAAACAACATTTTATAGTGTGACCACTCTTCCAGGGTAAAAAAGCTGTCAGGAAGAAAGGAGTTTCAACCAGAGACAATGGTCTGTGATAAATGGATGAGAAAGAACTGACAAACATGTAGTCCCAGAGAAAGCAGCATTTTACACAAGTGGAAGAAGAAAAAGCAAAAGTTTTTAGCAACCAATCAGTTTATTACTCTGTCCCTCTCCCTGATTCTAATTTTACTTTACAGTAAGCCTGTATTATCTTTTAATTCAGAATTCCCTTGTATACTCCTGGATTTGTTATGACTACTAAGCAAAAGTATGTGGCTCTTGCATTTCTAGAAGAATGTTAAATCCTTCTTTACTTACCTGGTTTGTAAGTTATTCCAGGGGGGAAGAGGAATCCCTGTTGGGCGGCAGCAGCTGCTGCCAGGGTCCGCTGGTCATGTGGAAAAATTGGGATCATGAGCGGAGGCATGTGACCCTGAACCTGCTAAACAGAAGAGAGCCTATGATCAGACAGAGAGCAAATGTACGCCAAGAAGTATTTGTTTTTCATCGGTGGTGTGCTAGTACCCACACATCCGCTCACCTCTAACCTCATTCCATGTCTGCTCCCTGAGAGAATTCAGGCAAATTCTACTAAACCCCTTTTCATAGATTCCATTAGTACACCAGGGACATAACTTCATTGTGAATTTGCTTCATCCATGTATCCACCAAACTGTAGTTAATGTTTTTCCTTTTCTCTTGCCTTTTTTTCTATTTTGTTCCTTTCTTTTAAACAAAGAACTAGAGAACAGTAAGTTTGCATCTTTTCTTCCACTATAAAATGTGGAAGGAGTTGCCCTTTCACCTGCTTTGCATTCTATGCTTTGTTTTGAAAATATTATTTAGTATCCTGGATCAAAAAGTAATGTCTAATTGTTATATATTCAAAAGCTGTATTTCCCCAGTTCAGGTATTCTATTTCAAAGCCTCACTGTGTTACGTTAAACATAGAGCTCTTCAGATTTAAGGCTACCACATCTTGGCTCCCAATTAAACTAATATTCTTTGCCATACACACCTCGATGTAACATATAAATTGCCTGTCTGGCTAAGCAGTTTTACAGCTTTATGCACTACCATGTAGCTCAGTAATTATGGAGTTGTATTCAGAGAGCATTTCATAATAAATCCTACTATATCAAATTTCATTTGACCTCAATAAATGTATCAAAGAGCACAAAAATGCAAAATAGAAAATCTTCACTCTATATCAGTATTTGTATTCCATATAAAGAAAATAAGAGCTATGACAGAATCATGCCCATGAAGATCACATTTTCATTTCCTAGCTTTCCTTTCTTTACTCTACACATTCTGCCCTGATTCCAGGAGAGCAACACTGGCAGGTTTTTTCCTACCTTTTACAGTATGATTTTATAGGCTATACTATAGGATTTTTCTTAGTTAAAGATTAAAACTAGGATATACAAAAGGAATTATCTATAAATTTAAACAGGGTCTCTGGCCTATTTACTAGCATAAAAGGGCTGTCTTACATCCTTTTAAAGATACAAACCTTTAGCAGTAATTCTACTGACCCCAAAGCCATTCTCTGTTTAAATTCCTAAATCTTCTCTTTAGGCAAAATTCCATATTCTGGCTTACGATCTTGTTTAAATAGCACCAACTTGCCTCGTTCAGTCCCTGTTCAATCGCAGGCAGGGACATAGCGCAAAAATGCTTCTGTGTGGGTCTAAGGGGTTTCATTTACCAACAGCTTTTCTCTAGGGAAAGCCCTAAGATGTGGGTTAATAAAGGGCAAGCAAAAAATAAACACTTTACAGTATTTTTCTGAATTCATTTCTCAGGAAAATCAACTTATAATAAAAAGGTCTTTGTGCAATTACTACCTTGCCAGTGGGGCGTGAAAGAAACTAGCTTTGGGCAGCTATTTCTTCCATTTTAGCTGAGGTAAGCCCTACTTTTGTACGTTACAGTACAAACTTAGCCTGCTTAAATTGAAGCTGATCCCCTAGTGCCCAGGTCTTTTCTTTAACCCTGAAGAAAAGCATTGGGTTTGCTGTACAATTCCAGTGTGTTGTGATCTGATGCAAACCTGAGATATCAAAGATGAGGTTAATGTTCTAAGCCAGAAAAATAAAGCACAATATTCTTTGGGGTGCCAACTGTTCAGTGCAAGACTGCACCAAAGGAGATCATTTCAGTTTCCTCTAAAAGAAATTTGGCTCTAGCATGTGCATAGAATATAGTACAGATGTTTCACAATCTAAAGGGGAACATGGAGGTAAGGAGTCTGCTCAGCACATTATTTACTTATTATTAGTCCTTTGTTTCATTTAACAAATATTTAGTTATTATTGTGTCTTACAGTTTATGAGAGGTAACTGAAATAAAATGGGGGATATTTAGCATGGGAAGAAGCTCTGGTAGTGCAGTGGCTAAGGCGTTCAGCTGCTAACCAAAAGATCAACGGTTTGAACCCACCAGCTACTCTGGTGGGAGAAAGATGGGGCAGTCTGCTTCTGTAAAGATTTACAGCCTTGGAAACTATTTGGGGCAGTTCTACTCTGTCCCATAGAGTTGCTATGAGTTGGAATAGACTCAATGGCAGTGAGTTTGGTTTGGTTGGTTTCTCTGGCATGGCAGAGAAGATAAGGGCTATCTTCAAATACTTGAAGAAATGATGTGTGGAAGGAGGATCAAATTAAATTTGTGTGGTTACAGAAGGTGGAACTAGTCTGAACAGGATAGGATATTCAAGTTCAATGCAAACAAGAGTTTTCTAATAATGAGTTATCCAACAATCAATCTGATTAAAGAGGTAGTGAGTGTTCTTTCTTTACATACATAAGTAATGCTATATATCATTATGTTAAAAACCAAAAACCAAACTCACTGCCACTGAGTTGAATCCGACTCATAGTGACTCTTCCTTGGGTTTCCAGGGTGTTATCTCTACAGAAGTAGATTGCCCAACCTTCCTTCTGAAGATTGGCTGGTGGGTTTGAACCACCAGCCTTCTGGTTAGCAGTCAAATGCCTTAGGCACTACACCACCAGAGCTCCTGATGTTAGAGATGCTTTAAAGGAGATTACATTACTAAGAACCTGATTAGATAATGACCTATAAGAACATTTCTAACTTTATAATTTGATGATTTTTCAAAGGTCAGCATTAGGAAGAGAGCATGATATAGTTATTCATTCAATACATAGTCTTGAGAACCTATGTGCCAACAAGGCTTTGTTGTCAAATAAATCTAAGATCACATCTATACACTGTCATTTGTGACCCTGGACAGTTTTTTAACCTTTATGAGTCTATTTCTTTGTGTAAAAACTGGCTAATGACATAAGCTTGCATGGTTGTTATGAGGATTAAATAAACAATAAAAGTAAAACTTGTGGCACAATGCCTGGCACATAATAAGCACTCAGTAAATGTTGGATCCTTGCCCTTTTCTGAGATAGTTTACATGTTTAATAAATAGACAATTATCAAATTACTGACAACACAAGGAACAGTGGGTCACAGTCACACCCTCACTTTAAAAAAGAAAATATGAGCCAACTAAATAATTTAGTTTGGCAGGCAGAGGTGTGTCATGTTCTTAGCAGATACCAGGCCTCACAAAGAATTATTCAATCCTGAATATCTAGAAGACCACGAAAAGAAGAGAGGGAGTTACAAAGGCTCATTTGAAGACATAATGTGAGATTGTAAGTGTTATTGATTAAATAGAATCTTTGAAATCATTATTTAATTTTTACCTGATTAGATAATTAAATAGAATCTTTGAAATCATTACTTTTTACATTGGTCACCCAGGCACTTTAGATCATGGGACAACATAAAGGGAGCAATGTCAATTAGAGAACTTAACTGTTGAACTTTGGTGTCTGAAGATACTTCCTTTATAACTAGAAATGTACATGAGAAAATTAAGTAAACTATGTAGGCTCTTTCTTAATCTAAAGAACTGTAAACACATAAACCAAACCCACTGCCATTGAGCCAATTCTGAATCACAGTGACCCCCTTTAGGTTTCCAAGATGGTAAATCTTTTCCAAAGTAGATTGTCCAGTCTTGCTTCCATGGAGATGCTGGTGGGTTTGAATCACCAACCTTCTGGTTAGCAGTCAGATGCCTTACACACTGTATGACTGTTGTTATGTTGTTATTTGCCGTCGAGTCAGCCCTGACTCATAGCGACCCCTCCTTGGGTTTCCGAGGCAGTATCACTACGGAAGTAGGATTGCCCAACCTTCCTTCTGAGGAGTGGCTGGTGGGTTTGAACCGCCAGCCTTCTGGTTAGCAGTCAAGTGCCTTAGCCACTATGCTACCAGAGCTCTAGACCTCCCTAAAGAGCTGTAGGTATCTCATGTTGACATGAGCTATAAAAATTTAGGAAATTCCCTTCTGTCCATCACAGTTTATACAGCAGGATATATTAGAAACTTTAAATACTAACTATTGTGCCTAAGGCATTTGACTGCTAACCAGAAGGTTGGCCAGTCAAGTCCACCAGCCATACTGTGGAAAGAAGACGGGGCAATCTACTTCTGTAAAGATTTACTGCCTTGGAAACCCAATGGGGGGTCACTATGAGAAGGAACCAACTTGGTGGGAGTGAGTTTGGTTTGGTTTGGTTTGGTTTGCTTTTACTAACCCAGAAGCAGTTTTAATAGGTTGAGGGATAAGGTAAACAAGGAGGGTTATAGAATCATAGTGTTAGAATTAGAGATGATCTAATCTAGTGGTTCTCAAAGTGTGATAACTGACTAGCAGCATCATTACTATCTGAGAATTTGTGGGTTTTGTTTGTTTGTTTGTTTGTTTAAAAAAGCAAATTCTCAGGCTTTTCTTCTAACCAGAGAACAGGAAAACTAGATGGTGCCTGGCAACTACTACTGACCTTTCTCACCTGGGACACAATAGAAGGTCCTAGATAGAATGAGAGAAAATGTAGAACAAAATTCAAATTCCTAAAAAAGGTCAGTCCTACCAGAGTGATAAAGACTAGGAACCTCTGAGACTTCTGCCCTAAAATAACCTTTGAATGTAGAACTGAAGCAGGTCACCATTCAACCAAATAACAGATGTTGTTGTTGTTGTTGTTAAGTGCCGTCGAGTCATTTCCGACTCATAGCGACCCCATGCACAGCAGAACGAAACACTGCCCGATCCCGCGC